CAAAGGTTAACCGTACTTTAAATGTGAAAGGTCTAAATACATCAATAAAAAGACAAGAGATCGTCAGAATAGGTGAAAAACAAGATGCTGTTTTCCTGTTTATATATTCTGTCTATAAGAAACCTACTTTAAATATAAAGATCCAGACAAGGGAAACAAAAGCAAAAATGAACTACTGGGACCTCATCAAAATAAAAAGCTTCTGCACAGCGAAGGAAACAACCAGCAAAACTAAAACGCAACCAACAGAATGGGAGAAGAGATTTGCAAACAACATATCAGATAAAGGGTTAGTATCCAAAATCTACAAAGAACTTATCAAACTCAACACCCAAAAAACAAATAACCCAGTGAAGACATGGGCAAAAGATATGAATAGACACTTCTTCAAAGAAGACATCCAGAGGGCCAACCGACACATGAAAAAATGCTCCACATCACTCATCATCAGGGAAATACAAATCAAAACCACACTGAGATACCACCTCACACCTGTCAGAATGGCTCACATTAACAACTCAGGCAACAACGGATGTTGGCGAGGATGCGGAGAGAGAGGATCTCTTTTGCATTGCTGGTGGGAATGCAAGCTGGTGCAACCACTCTGGAAAACAGTATGGAGGCTCCTCAGAAAACTAAAAATACAACTACCCTACGACCCAGCAAATGCACAACTAGGCATTTCTCCACGGGATACAGGTGCACTGTTTCGAAGGGACACATGCACCCCATGTTTATAGCAGCACTATCGACAACAGGCAAAGTACGGAAAGGGCCCAAATGTCCATCAATGGATGAAACGATAAAGAAATTGTGGTATATGTGTGTGTATGTATATATATATATATATATATATATATATATATATAAAATGGAGTATTACTCGGCATCAAAAAGAATGAAATCTTGCCATGTGCAACTACGTGGATGGAACTGGAGGGTATTACGCTAAGTGAAATTAGAGAAAGACAAAAATCCTATGACTTCACTCATACGAGGACTTTAAGAGACAAAACAGATAAACATAAGGGAAGGGAAGCAAAAATAATATAAAAACAGGGAAGGGGAGAAAACAGAAGATTCTTAAATATGGAGAACAAACTGAGGGTTACGGGAGGGCTTGTAGGAGGGGGGATGGGCTAAATGGGGAAGGGGCGCTAAGGAATCTCCTCCTAAAATCATTGTTGCACTATATGCTAATTTGGATGTAAATTTAAAAAAATTTAAAAATTAAAAAAAAAAGATCCAGACAGGTTAAAAATAAAGGGGTGGAGAAAGATATATACCATACTAACACTAATCAGAAGAAAGCTGAAGCTGTTATTTTAACTTCGGACAAAGCACGCTTCACAACAAGAATATCCTCAGGAATAGAGAGATGACATAATGATAAAGGGGTCAAATCTCCAAGAAGACATAGCAATTTTAACGTCTATGTGCCCAACAAGAGACCGTCAAAACACACATGGCTCTAGGCCACCGTAGGGCTGGGAGAAAACTCTGGGCCGGCCCCCTCCAGGGAGCCAGAACCTTCCCTATCCTCACGTGGAATGCCATTCCCGCCCCAGAAGCCGCACCCTACACATCCTTCAACACAGGAACCTGGATGCTGGACGCTGTACAGCCTCTGAATTGGGACTCCCTGCTTTTGTTTAGTTTTGAGAGAGAGAGACAGAGCACAAGTGGGGAAGGTCAGTGAAGCGGGCTCCGGGCTCTGAGCTGTCAGCACAGAGCTTGACGCGGGGCTGGAGCCCACGAACCGTGAGATCACGACCTGAGCTGAAGTCGGACGCTCAACCGACCGAGCCACCCAGGCGCCCTCCCCTCCCCTTTTTTTTTAGCTAGGAGAAACGTGGAGTCTGCCCATCTCATTGATCTGTCTTCAAATCTTTAGCAAACCTGCCCCCAAGAATCCTCGAGAGAGACTCCAATCTTTGCACCCACCGACCACGGTGTGCTGATGGCTAATGGATCCTCTGGATAAGCACTATTCCTGTGGACCAGGTGGTACACGTCAGATGCTATGATTCATACGTCACAAATCCTCAAGGGCATTTCTAAATCTGCTCAGTCACTAGATGCTGGATGACACCAGGGCCATGCCAGCCCTCACGAACTCGAAGGACTCCTCACACATGCAACACGCGTTAACTCGCGTGATAAACCCACACTCCGTATCTTCACCAATAGTAAGCCGGGCGATGCCCCAATCCTGTTCCTCCCTTGTCCAGCTTCGGGCAACGTCCCCTCACTCGGCCTGTGTCTCGAGGACCATGCCCACCTCTGACCTCTAAGAGCCGGAGTCTGGACCCAGCAGGACTCGCTTAATTTTCTTGTAACCTGAACCAGAAGACACGTAAGAACCCTAAGGCGCTGACAGGCACAATTTCAAGTCTGGGTTTGTTCAGAGTAAGTTTCCGGACCAAAGGGAGAGAAAAATAAAGGACATCAGTAACACGGGCCCCAGGTAGCACATTCTACTTCCCGAAGGTTACCTCAACACCTGGTTGACTTTTTGTACAATGGCAGTCAAATTAAAGCAAGGAGGTCTTCTCGTTTTATGTGATGTTTATAAAGTTTTTGAGATCTTTATCACGTTGATCAATTTAGATATTTGCTGGGGAGACAAATGAAACATTTAGCAATTAGGAAACTGGCAAAATTAGTCTCTCATACCTCATGAGGTGGATTTCCTGGCACTCAGTCCGTACGAAGAGTCATTCTACTTGGCATTACCGCCACGGGCACCAATGTCTCCCACCGCTGACTCCTGCGGAAGAATTTATGAACACTCACAGCATTTGGGGGCGTGCAGGGTGGTGAGGAGGGGTGGAGACCTGCACTCCAATCAGAGTTTCACCACTTACCGGCTGCATGACCTTGGGAGGTTTATTCAACTTCTCTGAGTCGCCTCCCACAAAATGGGGTAATCATTAACCCTGTGGCTGTGTGGCCATTAACAAGATAGCGCGTGTAAAGAATGCCCAGCTCATACGAGAGCCAAGTAAAGAAGCTACTGTCATTAGGAGGTACTGTCTTACCAAACGAAAGGACAGAAAAGCACATGTCCTCATTCAGGCAGACCCCACCAAGTGTACTGCAATTCTGCACAACACAAGGTTTCTCTATCCTTCCTGGATCTTCAGACCCGGGAGCCACACGGTATGTCCATTCACGAACCGGTGCCGTCCGGCATGAAGAGAAATTAGTGAATGAATTTCTTAGTACCTATGTAGTATGCAAACCTGTAATAATCTTTTTTTTTTTTTTTAAATAAAACTGCTTTGACTTAGGAAGAAAGATCCAATGTTTAGCACGTGCCAGTGACGCGTTTTCATTACTCAAGGTGCTTTCCCTTTCAATTCGCAACACTCGCCCAAGAGTCCAAGTGCGGGAGAGGCTGTGCTAGAAACCCATCCCAGGATTCTGGTCCTTCGAGTGAGACACACGGCCGGAGCCCCAGGCGGGACACCATCCCAGTTTTACATCTGTAGCAAGGTGGTCTGTCTGCATTTTGAAATAAACTTACCTGTGTGATTCTTTTGGTGTACTTTTGAAAAAAAACAAAAAACCAAAAAAAAAAAAAAAACCCCACTCACACATTTTAAGAAATCTCAAGGGGAAAGAAACATGATTGCCGCAGGCCCTGTCTCAAACTCCGGGAAGACATCCCACAACTCAGGTTTTTACCTTGCTTTAATGACTTCGTTTACGACCTCTGGGAAGGATGTGAACACATCAGGAGTAACAGCCATTTATGTTTTAAGTATCAGGTTTTATTAAAAAGTGCATTTTGATTAATTTACGGTCTAGGTAAGCTGTTAAGATATCAGTATACTCTCTGGAATAATAATAACTTTACAAATATTTAAAACAAACAAAATTTTAAAAGCCTTTTTATTTCCTTCACCATTATTGTTTTACAATACAAATATCACCTTGTGAATACACAGGAAAAAAAAAAACCCTACGGAAGATAATTCTGCTGCACGTAAAATACAGAATGGATATATATACTTCTTCATTCTTAAAAAACTATTTTGTTCTCCACATTGGCAAGTATGGAATAGAATACTTCCCCAAACATACTTCTGTTAGGAGTAAAACTTAGAGATACATGCAGTTTCTGCACAAATATATTTTAAAGAAATAGATCTCTGTTTTGTTGTTCACCAACAAAATTGTCATCAGAGTATGGATAACTAATTTATAGCTTTCAAGTTTTAGTTAAGTGATCATTTTCAAAACTCTCTTTTTAAAAACAAAGTATTCATGGCTGTTTTCACTGTATAGTTAAAATCGAACCACCAAATAGATGATAAAATAATTTAAGTGGTACATGTCATTGCCACCTGCTCACAATATGGGAACAGGGCTCTGATTTTCTAATTAACTCCCCCATTCGTTAATTCATAGCAATTTAAAAACCATAAGCAGTCTTCAGATTTAATTTAGCTATAAATGCAAAATTTAGTAGTGTATACATACATTTATATTTTCATGGAATATTTTATTTTAAATAAAAACATTTAAGATTGCCTACTGACCATACAATCAAGACAAGAAAGGCACTAGAAACATAGACAAATTTCTCTCCCAAGCATTTTTTTTTTAAATTTTAACTCTCTTCTCTCTGACATGTAAAAATCTTGAAATTTGGTTTTCATAACATCATTTTGAAAAATAAAGTTAGGAAATACTTAGAAAATCACTTTATAACAGAATCTTTTTTTTTTTTTTTTTTGCACTTTTTGACACACTCTCTCTGCTTTTTACAAAACCCAAAGTTACCACACCTTTCTGTGTCTGTCATTTTTTATTTGAATAGCGGTGCAACAGGTAGAAAGATTTCAGAATCGAACCCCATTCAGGTACTTAGAAACCTTCATAGAGACATTTGCTAGAAAATGGCTTACAGCCCAATCTTTGGGGCAAGAGATATGAAAAGTATGTTTTCCCAAGAAAATAATACGCTTTATTTTCCAGATGTGACTGGAAAGACCAGAACGGATGATAGAAAAGCTTACATTTATGCTGTTGCATCGTATACAAAGGAACGTGGTGATGCAGCTTATGCGGAACCCCGGACTCACGAACAGGAAATGTGTGCAGTGCATGATAGGTTACGTTTTCTTTATTGTTGTCCCACGCAGGTCCTTTGGAGAGAAAAAAAGATCACAGTGCTGACCAGGTAACTCAATAGGTTAAGTCAAGGAAACGGCTGAAAGATACCGGGATCGTCTGTTTATGGCATCTGCTCTCACTGGAGTTCTCAGCACTTGGAAAGGGTCCTCGTCCCCCGCTTGGTGCGGCCGTTATGTGTCGTTCACCAAGCGGCTGTATTTCACCTGCCTCCCGAGGTGGACCACCGGCCAGGGGAAGGGCCAGTGGTAAGATCGAGGTACGATTCCTTGGACGTTCTTTTCAAAGTACTGAAACGGCCTATACCACCACACCCTAGCCAGGAGGTTCATCTGGGAAGCTTCTTTGAGCACCTATGACGACAAAGACAGGAAACCAGGTCAGGGAGAGCAATTCATGGGCCCCCAAACGAACATATGTACTTTTCTAACGATCTTCCACTTTAAGCGGATGTGTTTTCCTAATTACAATTCACAAAGGACCCCGGAACGGCCTTGTGTCCACCCACGTACCCCAGTTTCGCACGCACGCCCCCGCTCTGCTCTCGTGTGCTAACCAGGCCACCCCCTAGCAGGAGAGCAAAGAACTCCAACTCCGGGAGCGCACGGAGAACGCGTGGCTTCCTCGATCTCTTGTCCGTAAGTGCGCGCGCCCCAGTGAGTGTCTCCGTTACTCTTCTGCGATGGAAGTTAAGCGTTCGGCTGCTCAGGGGCCCAGGCCAGGAGAAGGGGGGAGGGGTGCCAATGAAACAGCAGGGGGGCCCAGCTTGGAAGGCATTTGTCAGGGACGGGGACGGTGATACCTGTTCTAGAAGGATGCAATCTCTGCGTCACTGTACTAACACATTTCTTGCTCATTTTTTGTTGCGAAGTGGCTCAGCATCACGAAAGACAACGCGATCCCAGTTGCCTAGCCCCCCTGGAGAGAGGCCTAAGACATCCGTGGGTTCTCTGCACGTCCCCCCGCCCCCATGCCAGCACCGCCAGGCCAGGCGTTGAGAGAAGCTGTAATCAGACAAGGGGAAAACTCACTTGCTGATTGGCCATAGTGTGGTACCACCAGAAGAGTCTTGTGGTGATGTAATACGCCACCACCACGTCCACAGTGTAGTGGTCATGCGCTAAGAGAATACAGAAGATCCCAACCACGCTGAGGAGCCAGCAAATCCAGTGGTACCACCACAGTCGTCGAGGGGAATCTGAAAAGAGGAGCGATTCACACCGGTTACTCTGATCTTTCCGTCTGAAAACAGATCGTTTGGGCTGCAAATTTAAGGGTCTTAGCTTATATGTAGTCAAGGTTAGAATGGAAGCAGCTTGGGGCGTCTGGGGGGCTCTGTCGGTGAAGCGTCCGACTTCGGCTCAGGTCACGATCTCGCGGTCTGTGAGTTCGAGCCCCGCGTCGGGCTCTGTGCTGACAGCTCAGAGCCTGGAGCCGGCTTCGGATTCTGTGTCTCCCTCGCTCTCTGCCCCTCCCCCGCTCGCGCGCTATCTCTGTCTCTCAAAAACAAATAAGTGTTAAAAAAAAAAAAAGAATGGAAGCAGCTTATCTCATGAAGTGACTTTATTAGCAATTGTAATTTATACTTGGCTACTGCTTGATTCACATATAAAGGCAGTTGAGAAGGACAACTGAGAGGATAATGTGTCGTGTTCCGTTAAAAAAAAAAAAAAAAAAAGCCTGTCTACTGACATTTAATTCAACTTACTTATAAATAATTTGGGGTTAATGCTCCAAACAAAAATCAATACTTTTTGGTCTACAGATCCTTACACACGGACTAGGCAATTAGAATTGCTACAACTGTCCTACTTGCTTCCCAAGCTTTGTGACTAAACACTGACCTGAAACTCTGTAAGAGTCTCAGATTCCATTTCTCAAACAGAAATAAGAAAGAATCCAAATGCCTGGGAATTTTGGTGCAAGTGCATTCAAAGGCAGGGTAGTGTCAGGTCAATACCTGTCCGTACCTTGATTTGGAAGCTCCCACCTGAGGTGAGCACCATAATCTCTATTTGTCCAGGCCTTCCCACTTTGCATTCTCAAAGAATGGGCTGAAGAGGGTCTGAAATTTTACGCAAAAATGTCACTTGAATGTGATCCGTCCTCCCTACCCAGGGGGAGAAAGGTTAGACTTTCACTGGCTTCTCACAGCATACAAGTACTCCTCATTTGGGGGTGTCTGGGTGGCTCAGTCGGTTGGGCGTCTGACTTCAGCTCAGTCATGATCTCACGGTTTGTGAGTTTGAGCCCTGCATCACGCTCTGTGCTGACAGCTCAGAGCCTGGAGCCTGCTTTGGGTTCTGTGTCTCCCTCTCTCTCTGCCCCTCCTCCACTCACACTCTGTCTCTCTCTGCCTCTCAAAAATAAAGACAATTAAAAAAAAATTAAAAAAAAAAAGAACTAGTCATTCGTTTAACCAGTATTTATTGAACATCTACTATGTGCCTGGGACAGGAAATGCTCTGGGTATAGAGATCAACGAACCAAACAGGCAAAGAGCCTGCCTTTGTTGGGGGAGATCCCTTCCTGGGACAGAGGAGACACAATAAAAAATAATTATAATAAAGAAGGAGATTTTACACTGTGTTAGAAGGTGTTAAATGCTATGAAAAAATAAAGTTGAACAGGAGAAGCAGGATCAGAAACCGAGAAGGGGAAGGGAGGTTTGTGACTTTAAATTGAGTGGTCAGGGCAGGGGTGGGGGCACCGTACCCCACCCCCAGGAAAATCTGCATTGATACACCCTACAGCTACCATTCATTCTTCATGCACGTGTTACAGTGCGGACATGACACCCGTTTTAATTTCTACAACCTGTCCCTCGGCCATAGAGCGGCTACCAGTGTCTCGCTCTAAAGACGAGGAAGCTAAGACTCAGAGAGGTTAAGGTCTTTCCCCGTCACAGAGGTGGGGATGGCACCCGGACTCAAAGTCAGAGGTTGTGAGCCGCGTCCTCCAAGTTTCCCGACATGGCCGTGCTTCCTTTGAGGATAAGACTTCACTGCCTTTACAGTACAACCAGCAGGGAGTGCTCCCCAGGCTGTGACAACCCCCACCGGCAAAAGGGCCAAACTGACAGAAAGTGTTAGAATTCACTCAGAAGGTTCCCCACGCATACCCCCCCAGGCCCCTCTGGACCGCAGGAGAAAAGAGAGCCTCATGTCTCACAAACATACTCTGAGAGAAAAAAGGGGGCAAAAGACCATATATAACGTCATACCACATGTTAATTTTAGAAACCACAAAGCCATCATCGGCAAGACTCAAGACATGCGTGGAAATGACACAGGAACGTGGGAAGCAAGGCATGAACAGCCTTAATCATATGTTAGCGCTGTATGTGCTTCACAAAGGGTTATCTGAAACAGATATGGTGAATGCCAGCATCTGTTAAATCTGAGCAGGGGACGGGGGTTTATTTAAATATTTTTTGTGTGTTTCGCAATAAAATATTTTAAGTACGTTTAAAAATATATTTTAGGTAGTTGTTTGTAAGTTTCTGTGTTTTGAGAGAGAGTGAGCGAGCAGGGGAGGGGCAGAGAGAGCAGGAGAGGGAGAATCCCAAGCACTGTCAGCGCAGAGCCTGATGCTGGGCTCGAACCCACGAACCGGGAGGTCATGACCTGAGCCGAAATCAGGAGCCGGATGCTTCACCGAATGAGCCCCCCAGGCGGCCCTTACGTACATTTTAAAGGAGACTCCCTTTTGGCGCCTGCATCACTTAGTGCCCCTGAGCCCCCGGCTTCTATGAGGGCAGAGACCTCGCTGACCCCCAGGCGCAGCGTAGGGCGGTGACACGCGGTCTACATCACGTGCCACCAGGCCTGGGCTCACGAGCTTTCCTCCCGGCTCCTTCCAGCAGCTGTAGCGCAGCCCGAAGGCTCTGCCGACACCAGAGGAGACGAGGAGACTAGGCGCCCCCCGCCCCCGGGGCAAGAGCGGTGACCCCGCCCCCCGCCTCCCCCCCCCCCCCCCCCCCCGCCGCGCTGGGGGCCCACGGTGTTGGGTGCGGTGGGGACGCTGCCGGAGGGCTGTCCTCGACTTACACTCTTTGATAAATAAGTAAGTGAGCGTGAGCATGACCGTGTGGCCGCTGTACAGGTAGTCCCCGCACATGTTGTGAGAGCCGGTGATGGACAGGCCGCCACCGGCAATGAGCTTCATTATCCTCCGCACTTGTGCTTCCCAGTCTCCGAACAGCTGTGGGAGAGGAGAGACGAGAGGCGTTACCAGTCCACCCCGGAGTGCTGTGGCGCCCTCCTCCGTCAGGGCCAGGCCCTGCGATACCCTGACTTCTGCCGAGAAACGCACACCTGGCCCTGGACGTGGCTCTCCGGCACCACCTCTGCCATTTCCCGAGACAAAAGGCATCTGTGGCTAGTCACAACCAGCCGCTTTCACCCGCACCTGAGAGCTCCTTAGGGCGGTGACCCTCGGAAGGCCCCGGAGCATCGGGGCTTGACGCCGGGAGAGCCAACCCTGTGATCAGAAGGCTGGACCACCAGGGAGGGCGAGGGCTGGAGGTGGATGGTCAATGACTCATCAGTCCTGCTTACAGGGGCGCCTGGTCGGCTCCATCGGTTAAGCGTCCGACTTCTGCTCAGGTCCTGATCTCGGGGTTTGTGAGTTCGAGCCCTGCATCGGGCTCTGTGCTGACAGCTGGGAGCCTGGAGCCTGCTTCACATTCTGTGCCTCCCTCTCTCTCTGCCCCTCCCCTGCTCACGCTCTGCCTCTCTCTCTCTCTCTCTCTCTCTCTCTCAAGAATAAATAAAAACATTAAAAAAAATCCTGCTCATTACATAACGATGCCTCCACAAAACTGCACAAGGATGGAGGTTCAGAAAGCGACCAGGCTGATGACAAAGTAGAGATGTGGGGGGCGTGGGAGCCCCGCGCCCCTTCCCAGAGACCTCGCCCAGGGCATTCCTTCCGTCCGGCTGCCCTAAGTTACATCCTCTTATAATACACTGGGTCTCTGGTAAGTTACATGTTTTCCTTAGTTTTGGGAACAACCGTTAGCAAACTAACCAAATCTGGGGGGGGGGTCACGGGAACCCCCAATTTACAGCTCAGTGGTCGGACGCACAGGTGACAGCCTGCACTCGTCGCTGGAGTCTGAAGGGGGAGGGGTCAGTCGGTGTGACACAGAGGTCCCTCCAGGGAGGGAGCAACAGAACTAACGCCCCCCACAGGTGCTCACAGAAGCGCCTGGTGTGGGTGCTGAGAGGAGGCGCACGGGAATGTTCCGGCTTTTTGAGCTTCCGTCAAGACACGTAAACCCCCCATGAAGGCTGCCGTCCACGTTCACTAGAGAGGAAGCGTGTGGCCACAGCCGTTCCTTGCTTGCGCTTTCTGGAGCACGTTTCAGCAGACGCTTGCCCCATTTTTAAAATTACACTGATAGAGAAAGAGTAACTGATCGCGGTTTACGACGGGAGCCGCTTGGGGGAAAATAATCTGGGACAAGTCCCCGTGCTCAGCTTACAGGACAGCGGCTCTATGGACCCAGCTGATGTTGGAGACTGAGGAGGTCAAATGGGACTTTTGGCGACCAAAGTGACACAACGGACTGAATGGATGTACCTTCAATCTACTGAAATCACGTGAGTGGAACCATGTGCTCTTCTTTTTCAGTAAGAGTGAAACAATCTCACAGATAAATCTCCGTCTCTAATGCAAGTCTGGGCTGCACGCCGGAGTCATCAGAGGCTTAAACAACACACTCCCTGCCATTTTTCTTTGCTATGTCAAACGGTCTGTATCTTAGGTTGCCAGCACACTAGTTACTTTTAACCAGAATTAATCACCCTGACCCTTTTCAACATTTCACTGATAACATGCCAGGCTTTGGGAAACATGTGGTCTGCTACAATTTCCCTTTAAGAAAATGTATCAAGATTTCTAGTCAAGGATGGCAGGTTGGACACATGGCACAGAGGAGACAGATTTCCAAATTCAAAGGGTCACCACAAGAAAACAGACCTCTACGGCAAGACTCGGCACCACGAGATTTCAGGTACGTAGTGGGGGGTTAGCAAGAGACCCTGATGCCTCCAGAAATCAAAGACAAGCTTCATACTTGGGGTGCCTGGGTGGCTCAGTCGGTTAAGCGCCAACTTTGGCTCAGGTCATGATCTCACGGTTTGTGGGTTCGAGCCCCGCGTCGGGCTCTGTGCTGACAGCTCAGAGCCTGCTTCAGATTCTGTGTCTCCCTCTCTCTCTGCCCCTCCCCTCCACTTGCACTCTGTCTCTCTCTGTCTCAAAAATAAGTAAACATTAAAATTAAAATCATGATGTATTTATAAAAAAAACACAAACAAGCTTCATACAAAGGATCAAGAGTCAGCTTTTTCAAAAACAATCCTGGAAGACAGAAGGCTTTGGAAAAATGCCTCCAAGTTCCATGGGAAAATGATTTTCAACTTAGCAACCTATGCCCAGCCATACTCTTAAGCGACCCTGCAGTACAGGGTCGACTAAAGCCGTTTTCACAAGATTTCACAGTATTTACCACCTACATACTCTTCAGGGAACTAGAGAGCATACGCTTTGTAAAGCAGAAAGAGCAGAAAAAAAGAAGAGACAGGATTTGCTAGGTCGTCAGTGAAGGCAGAGCCGAGGGGCTGTGAGCCTGCACAGTGAACCATGGGTGGGGGGGGTGGGTACGGGTGCGAGGGTCATCCGCGGGAAGGTGAAACCACATGGGGGTGAGTGTGCACACAGCACACTAAGAAAGCAAAAGGCAAGGCAATCGCTAACTCTCTAAGAAACAAAATGTTGTGCACAAGAATCATTATAGGAAATGACTCAAGCTGGCTACGAAGAGCATTTAGAAACTAATAGTGTGAACACGAAATGTGGAGTTAAGTCAGAACAGAAATCCAGACCCGGACAGGGAAGAGGGGACAGGAAGCAAGACCGCCCACCAGGGGGGGTGGGGCTGGGGCACCGTGGACCCTCCCTCCAGCCTTCCCGTAGGAGGTCAATAATAAGACTTCCATCAGAAAAACAGAGAAACGGAACTGCCGTGTCCCTTACAGACCGCAGGGTAACACACACACACACACACACACACACACACACACACACACACACAAACACACATATCTGTGAAAAGTAAAAAGCTATGAAGGTAAGCACCACCAGCTTCAGTTAAAATTGTTGAAAGCAGTTAGGAACGTGGGCTGGAGTTGGTCAGGGTTCAGGGGGATGGGTGGCTACGGTGTGTCGTTAAAGATTCTACAGAACCATTTTGTTTAAAAACATTTTTAAAATGTCTACTTATTTTTGGAAAAAGAGAGAGAGTACGAGGGCGGGGCAGAGAGAAAGAGGGAGACTCAGAATCCAAAGCAGGCTCCAGGCTCTGAGCTGTCAGCATAGAGCCTGACGTGGGGCTCAAACTCATGAACTGTGAGATCATGACCTGAGCTGAAGTCGGATGCTTCACTGAGCCACCCAGGTGCCCGTTTTTTTTTTTTAAATTGCACATATGTAATAAACACGATAGAAATTTTTCAAAAGATTTAAATGGAAAGTTGGGTCCAGTTCTGCCATAACAATGCACAGTATAAAGAGGAAACTTATGGCAACAAAAGCCTGGGTAGCTTTTCATTTTATTCCATTTCAGATTGTCTTTCCAAAAACTGTGTTTTTTACACTAGAAATCCTATTCTCAGGCACCACCACCCTGTAATTTGCCCTCCCGTTTTAGCACGAAAATATTTGTGGGGAACCTGTACGCGTGGGGAGGAGGGAGACATTACCAGGTAAACACAGCATCGAGAAAAAAATAGCTGAAGATTAATGCTGCATTTCTTCCAAGTGCCCTTAAAACACCTAAGCTTTCTTTTAAAAAATCTCTTTCCATGGCTGTCAAACCTCTGGGAGGGGCGGTCTCTTCAAGCTTAGTGGGAAACAGGAAAAGAAGGTGGATGGCTATGGCCACATAAAAATTTTAATTATGTTAAAAAAAAAAAAAAAGCAAACAAAGTAAAAGACATGTTGCATAACAACCGGAGCAGAAACCAGCTAACATCTTTTTCACGGAAACTGACCATATGAACCAAGTAAATAACACCAACGTGGGAGACAAAAAAGGATATGAACAGCGGGAGGCATGGAGACTGCCAAACAAACAGATACAAACTTTGCTCCCGTATCAAGTTAGCAAAGCTGAGGGAAGCGGAAGCAGGGCTGGGGCTTTCGGGGCAGGCCCAGCGGCTGGGTGAGGGGGGGTGAGCCGAATGCACCTGCCAGCCGGGAGGGGTGGCGGGCAGACTGGGCTCTGCCACTTAGCTGGGTGATCCGAGGCGGCCGGACCAGTCTAACCCTCCACTTCCTCACCTACCACTTGGGGAGCATCATCGTTATGACAATCGACAAAATTCTGTAAAAATCATCATCGATATTGACCGGCAATCCAAACGGCATCGCCCGGGACTCGTTTACACGGAGTCTCAGAGCCTGCCGCAAAGAAATGATCCCAGACATGAACGCTTTAGGTAGAACTCTCCCACTATGATATTAGTATAAAAGGAACAGAGTGGAAACAATCTAACCAGGAATTGTTATTAAATAACTGCTTGCTTGCTACTCGAAGCCCAGGCCGGCAAGTACTGGCAACATCGGGAGTCCCTATAAAATGATTCTCAAACCTACTGAACCACCATCTGAGGCGACTGGTTAGACTCACACCACAGTGATTCAAATGCGTTGACTTGGGCTACGACTGCGTAATAAATGATGAACGAAATCAGTTTATAATGCCCGTGTAGTAAGTTTGTATCATAGACATCGTCTCTTATCGAGGAAAAAACAAAACATTTGGCATAATCAACTGTATTTTTTTAAAAACAAGCACAGAGAACACGTAGAATGTACAAACTACACGTCAGCAGGGTTTCAGTGGAAGCTGGCAGGGTTTCTCCCAGTCTCTGTCCCAAAGGGACTTCTAGAAGTCCCCGCTCCTTGGGCTAGAAAGAGAGGAATTCTCTTGGAAGTCTCCAGTTGTGGGATCTCGGCGGCCTTCGAGTGCAGGCAGGACATACGGGAAGAGACTAAAGAAGAGGAAAAGACAGGAACTCTGGTCTTCTCTCTCATGCTTACTTTAGTTTCATTCCCCAATCTGCCTGCCCCCCTCCTGCGGCATCCTCAAAAAGCTGCTCGAACATTCTGCGGGGTGTTTCTTACTTGCAGTCGGT